AAGGCCCATCTGCAGTGTTTCATCTTAACAAACCTAAAAAAGAACAAAAAACATTTCAACAAATTATACAAGATATTCTGGCTTTAAGAGAAATTTTACCATTTCAGGTTAAATTATTTGATTACATAAAAGTATTTAATGTTAGTTCAATACTATATTTCATTCTTTAAAGTTTCCAAATAAAAAATACTCCTAGAATATTCTTGAAAATCTAGAATAAGACCACAATTTCCAAACTATGGCCTACCAAATATTTGAAAACTACTTACTGTACTTATGGAAAAAGCATGATTTTGGTCATTAGATGGTTCTAGAGGTCAAATCCTACCTTTAAAACATTCTCTAAGTGTGGCCTTGAAAAAGTTCTCTCAAATTGCTAGTCTCTGCTGACAAGAGCAGCTCCTCAGTTTTTTTTCCTATTCCCAGCACCTAGCACATTTCTTAACAAATGAAAACCAACCTGCAAATAACACTGATTAAGGGGCTGTAACCAGGAGCCGAAACACACGGTTTAAATCACAGCTCTGACTTTGGACGAATTGTTTCTTTTCCTTTTCTTTTTTTTTAACTTTAAGATAACATTTATTGAGTAAATTACAGAAGTGGAAAAAAAGTACTTCCTAGAAGAAATGGGCTTAGGAAGCATGTTATAGACTTAAAAGAAGGGCCCTTGGAGTTTGGGGCATGAGAAAGCTAATGCTAAGGTGCCTGAGGGGAAGCAGGGGAGGGAAGGGAAGGAAGGGAAAGGGAAAGGCACAGGCATGCTCCCAGGAGGGAGAGCACCTGGACGAGTTGTTTCTAGGCTATGGCTTTAGTTCTCTCATCTGTAAAATGAGAATAAAAGGCCTTACATGATAGGATTGTTATGATGACTACCAGAGGTAATATATGCACATCATGTACCACTCAATAGTTGTATAAGATAAATATTCTGGCGTGGCTCCGTGGTTGTTGACCTATGAACCAGGAGATCACAGTTCGATTCCAGTCGTGGGCTCCATCCCCAGTGGGAGGCATGCAGGGAGGCAGCTGATCAATGAGTCTGGTTCATCATTGATGTTTCTCTTTCCCTCTCTCTCCCTTTCTGAAATCAATAAAAACATATTTTTAAAAGAAATATTCTGGTATATTCCTCTGTTTTTTTAAATATTTTATTATTAACTTTTTTACAGAGAGGAAGGGAGAGGGATAGAGAGTTAGAAACATCGATCAGCTGCCTCCTGCACACCTCCTCCTGGGGATGTGGCCGCAACCAAGGTACATGCCCTTGACCGGAATCGAACCCGGGACCCCTCAATCCGCAGGCCGACGCCCTATCCACTGAGCCAAACCGGTTAGGGCTATTCCTCTGTTTTTATACTTGATGAGTCTAGTTAACTTAGAATACATCAGCCTCATTGCCGTGAATGAAGTGAAAGCAGCAACATGAAACCAGTTGAAACTTACACACTTAGACACTTCCAGTAACGTGGTTTCCTTACAGAGGAAATTTACAAGAACTCTTTACCTTTAACCAGCGTCCCTAACTTTCTACAGGCAAAACACGAAGGCCAGCGCAGTGGGAGGGTGGGGGATAGGAGACAGCTAACACTCTGAAAAAGAAAATCAACTTCCTTTCACCTCCCTTTGCCCAAGATAACGTTTCCGCTGAAACGCGTTCTCTGCCATGGTGCAGGCTCAGCAAGCACCAATTCAGAATACAAAACACACGCCGCCTGAGGTGCCGAGGGGGGTCCGAGGGCTCCACCGCCCCTGCTCAGCAGGCTGCAGCCGCCCGCAGCCAGGTGCTGGCGGGGCTGACGCCGCGGCCGGCAGGTGCATGGTCCTTCCCGTGGAGACACGGGCGCCGCCCACCTGCCTCCTCCTCCCCAGCCGCCGGGGCCACTCCGGCATCCCAAATCCCGCCAGCCGACGGTCCTGGCCCTTCCAGGCCTTCCCACTGACCTACGACACCGGTCTCAGGTCCTGGTGCTGCAGGTAGGGAGAGCAAAAGACGGCGAATGTGTCGACACCACAGCAGGCAGCTGAGATGAAGCCAAACCTCCCCACCTCCGACCCGGCTGAGGTCCCGAGACGCTGGACAAAGTGCTGACCAACCGAACCCGGTCCCGTCCCCTCAC